CCTCCTGGCCAACTGCCTCACTTTATCCCTCCCTCTCTCCGGACTCCTCTTCCCCCTGGTGTTCTTAGAGAATTTTTTTTTTTTTTTTTTAAGTTGCAGAACCAAAGGCTGCTGAAGAGAGAGAGAGGGAAGGGGAGGAAAAAAGAAAGAAAAAACTCAACTTTGCCTATGCGCATGCGTAGTGAGGCCGGCCTATGACAAACTCCGCAGGATTTTAAAGCCGTACCACAGGCTGGGGTGCAGAGGGGCGGGATACACTCCCTGCTGGAGCCCCCTTCTCTCAACTCCCCATCCCCCAGGCATCTGCTGAAAGAGAGAGGTCCACTCTGCAGCGGCTGCCTGCCCTCCGTCCGCCTCTCTGCGCTCCCTGCAAAGTCGCCGACCCGCAGGAGGCTGAACCCCAACTTCCTGGGCCGGACCCCTTGGTTCGCCTGTCCCAAGGCCACTTCCACTGGGGCTGCACGGGGGCTGCTGTCCCGGCACGGAATCTCTTGTAGGACCTCCTCCCCAATCTTACCCCCGGGGGAGGGTCCCTAATTCCCAGAGCTGAAGATAACGCAGGCTCACACATCCTGCAGAGCCCCCAGTGTAGTAGGTTTAGGTACCGGGATGCACGGTTGAGCATCTGACGGCGACACAGCGCATCCAGATGCGACGCAAGGTCTTGCCGGGTGGATCTTGTCGGGTACCCTAAGGTGAGAAGCCTGCGAAGTTCGGCAAAACCGGGTTACTGGCACTGGAAAGTCTAGACACTTCCAGACACCTGTAATTGTTGGGACCCAGGCGGGACGCGGTTGGTGGATGTGTGTGCCCCCCACCTTCAGCCACCCAAGCAGTGCCTCAAACTGGAGCTCAATTTTTGTTCTCAATCCTCCCCATTCTCCAAACATTCCAGGTAGATGACACGCGCGCGCGCACACACTCTACTACCACCATTCATCTAGCATGCACTTGACCTTAGGGGCAAAATCCATAGCCTGGGTACTTGAGGGTGGTGGCTGTTTTGTTTTGTTACTTCGGTACCCCAATCCCACCCCTGGCTGACCACCCCAGCGTGCGCAGGGAAAGGTTCTGGCGACGATGCCCGAACACTTCGCACTCCTTTCCTGGTCCTTACTTGTCTCAGCTGACTGGACCATTCCCCAGGTCTGGCCTCCTTTGCTGGGTGCACCAAAATGGCAAGTGTGGGCTTCCCACGAACTGCAAGAGATACCCTTGCTCCCGCGGGGGTCGCTTTCTTTCTCTAGGGGCACACACGGCCATGAGGAGGAGGAGCCCGAGGTTATCAAAGATCCCCTTGAGACCTTCTCTTTCACCTCCTGAGTCCACTTTCCCCTCACCCTCTCTAGGCCTTGGCCACTTAACAACTCGTGGGCATTTCCTAGTTTTCCAATCTAGCATGAGATCTGCCCATGGGAGGCAAAAGTCTACACAAGACGGGGAATCCCCCTTACCGCAGTTTCCTCTCCCCACTTCGTTTTGCCCAGTGGCTTCAGTCTGGAATTCTCCTGACTACGGAAGCTCACGAATCTCCAGGCAGGCACCCCAGTGATGCCTTTCGTGTCCATTCCTCCTCGGACACAGTTCTGGAGAGGAGGGAGGCACTGAGAGGTGGCAGGAAATGAGTTGGCTAAGAATGCAGGTCCCAAAGTGTGCTGAAGCCACTGGGCACCTGAGTGCCTAGAGGCAGTAGGCTTAGATGATTCCATTCCCAGGAAGGAAAAGGCTGTTACCTTAAGAATTTGCCCCACCCATATAACCAGTCCAGGAACACTGATTACCCAAACCACAACCTCTCTCCCCTTTTTAATTGCTGTGTTCCGAATTATGTGGATTATCTCCTGTTTCTCTCCAATTGCCTTTGCTTGTTTGTGTAGACCCAGCCCCAACAATTTTATTTCCTGCCTTGCTGTCTTTCCTGTAGTGGAAGATGGTGTTAGGTAGTGGTTAAGAGTGAGAACTCTGACATTTGGAGTTCCAATCCCCTCTCTGCCACTTTGTAGCTGTGAAACCTTGGACAAGTCATTTAGCCTCTCTGTGAGAGAATGAACAGTAATGATCATGGAACACTTAGGATGAGCCAGGCACTTATTGGGCACTCAATACCTGCTCTTCTACAAAAAGCAGCTCTGAAAACAGGTTTTTAAATTCCTTTGGTGACAAAACTAGACTTCACATGACAAGACCATTTATAGTCTTAATTTATCCCAGTTGAAGTGAATGTTCATACTTTTCACAGAAGAAATGTAAATGATGTTGGGTTACTGGGTACTTCCCCAGAGCTCACTGAGGCTGTTTGCAAACTAAATAATATGCCCTATTTTATATTTCAAAAAAAATTTCAAAATTTCCGACACACCTATCTGGCCCCAAGGACTTCAGATGAAGGATTGTGAATTTTATCTGATATTCGTAATGGGTGTGCTGAGATTATACCCCATGAGGATGCAATAAGCCCTGTGACAGTGTTTCCATAGCTGTAACCCCAGTGCTCAGAACAGTGCCTGGTACTTAGTAAGTGCTCAATAGTATTCATCAAATGACCAAATGAATGCATGCATGAATGAAAAGATTATTTCCGGAGAAAAATGTCCAGGGGAACCAACTGGAAATCCACTTTCAGTCAGGGAATGCTGTTCTGGAAAGCCAGGCTTAGTTGCAAGAGCCAGTCCCACTATGGGTGTTGGTCGGTTTGGCTGGGCGATAAATAGGCAGTGCAAAGGAGGTAAATCGATGCCTCTCCATCTCCATCTTCAAAGGTCTTTGTTCCACAGACCTCTGGAACAAAGGTCTAACTACTACTTTCCTCTCACAAACTGTGTGTGCATTTGGGTATGTGTACTCAAATTGAGTCATCTGCAGACATACTGGCAAGGCATCACCGTGCTCCACTCATTAAAAATGCTTTTGAGTCTGTGGAAAAAATAAATCAATATTTTTGGCTGCTCTCCCAACAGAGTTATTTCACAAAACAGAGTGCAAGATAAGGAATTTATGGACATCTCATCCCTGTGCCGCCTTTCCCAGTGGGAGAAAACAGGGCCTGGGTTGACATTCTGGGAAAATCTACCCTCTTTTTATGCCAGGCAAATAATATTTTATGGCCCTGGGTTTATGGTGGTGTTTTAATGATCCACTGTAGAAAGCGGTTTTCTCTCCAGTCACTAGAATTTGTCAAGAAGGGCTGGAGGCCATAAAAGAGGGACGGGCCCCAGGGACAAACAGGCTCCATCTTCTGAAATAAACTAATAAAGGGCCCCCAAATGTTTACTCCTTCACCTCAGAGTCAAGACCAGCTAGGCTGCCTGTGCTGGGGGGTGGGGGTGGTGGCCAGATGGAGCACTAAACAGGACAAAGAGGCCGGAAGGGGGTTGGGGCTTCCTCACCACCACATGGTCACAGTCAAAGTAATACCATCATATTGTGTGACCACTGGCCACTGGCCTGGCTGGGACAGAGGTTCCCTTGAGTTTAGAGGACTTTTTGGACACGGAGCTTACTCGAGTAGGCTCCTTGAAAATCTCAAGCTTTCCTCGTACTGGGCCTAATCACAGTGATATCCTAACTTAGAGCCTTCTTTATTTTTATAGTCTATTGCTGGTGGTGGGGGGAGTGGAGGTAGGGCTGAATGGACGCTTTGACTTTTAAGGGATATCAAGAGCAAACAGACCTGAGTCTGAATCCCAGATTAGCCTCTTACTGACTGAGTGACCCTGCAGGGGTCACTTCTCCTTCTGAGACTTAATTTCTTCACCTATAAAGTGGAGTACGTTAGGGATGTTCTAACAATCGAGGTAATGTATGCGAGGCCTTGGTCCAGCCTCTGTCTGTGGCGGGAGTTGCTGTGATTATTTCACCAAGAGGAATGTCTGTCCATGGATCCTGGGTAAAATCCTGAGACAAATGAGTTGCCTGAGGAAAGTGGGGATGGGGTTCTCAGAAAAGGAGAGAAATGTAAGAGGCAATTATAAGATTATCTGGTATGGCTGCATGACCATATTCAATAAAGATAAGATGAATAAATGCTGAGATAATGAGTATTACATAATAATAATAATTACTGGTAACATTTATTGAGTTCTTACTATGTGCCAGATGCCAGCCACTGGGTGAACTCTTTATATTCATTGCTTTATTTCATCCTTACTATTTCATGTGGTAAATCCTTTTATTACCCACACAATGTGGAGAAAAGGAAAGGCTAAAAAAGTTCACAATTTCTATAAACCTAAGGTGTTTTCTTGTTCAAACCCAAGAGTTTGAACCCAGGTTATCTGACGCTAAGTAACTGAAGCTTAAACACCATACTTTATCTACATATAAATAAAGACAAAACTATTTCCGAAAAGGTTTCTCTGGTTCCCCAAATGTGCCCACTTTTCCTCTTGGCCTCTCCTACACAAGGCTCACCTTCAGTGGATAGAGTCCAGAAAGCTTCTGATCCACTCTACTAAGCACCAAACGTGAATATCACTAGAATCGGCCACACCAGGAAAGCCTGATTTAAGTCCAGTTCAGTGGAGCACTCAAAAACTTGTCCTTCCTTTATTAATTGGCTTACTATGAAGCCACGATTTCCCTACCCTCATTCCACCACCACCATCAGGAACCACAGCATCTAAACTCAGCCATCCGCCTTGAATTCTGACCTTGTAGGGCAGTTGGCTTCCTTTGAATTTCCTGCTCTCTGAAAAGGGCTTGGTCTTGTGCCCTCTCTGAAAAGGGCATGTGTCATCCCTGATGAAGACATGAGGGTTCTCTCTCCCTAGTGCGGTGCAAATCATATCATTCTCCTGCTTAAAGTCCTTCAAGTACTTCCCAGTTTGCCAGAAAAAGCCTAAACGAATTAACCTGCAGGCTTATCAGAGCGCATCCTTTGCATTTGCTGTTCCCTCCGCCTGAAAAGCTATTCCTCTGATCTGGGCACCCTCCCTCTATTCAGGTCAGCACCTCAATGTACATATTAACTTAATGCAGCCTCATCTCTCCCTGCCAATGATTCTCTGTATGATTTTCTTCTTTTATCCTCATCTAAATTTATCTTATTTGCATGCATGTTTATTTATTTGTTTGTTTTCTGTTTCTCCTTACTAGAACATAAGCTCCAAGGGGGCAGGGATCTCATCTTTCTTGTTCAATGATGAGCACAGTATAAATGAATGAATGAATGAATGAATTTTCATGGCCATAGCCACATAATGGTTAAACAAGGGTTTGAACTTTAGTAGTCTGACTCTAAATAACAGAGGCTTAACCACCATATTTTATCTACCTATAAATAAAGACAAAGCTTTTTTTTTAAATGCCTACAGCACCTGGTATTCCTAAGTGGTCTCCCATCCAAGTACTAACCAGGCTCGACCCTGCTTAGCTTCCGAGATCAGACTAGTTCTGAGATCAGACGAGTTCAGACGAAATTGGGCACGTTCAGGGTGGCATGGCCATAGACCAAAGCTATTTTTTAAAAGATGTTTCCCTGGTTCCCAAAATGTGTCCACACTTTTCCCATGGTCTCTCCCACATAAGACTTACCTTAAGTGGATAGAGTCTGATAAGAGAAATAGTTTTCTTCTGAAGAAACACAGTATTTCATTACTCTTTTGTCAAATTGTTTCTGCTAAAAAGTTGTTTCCTCTTAACTTGTCTTTTCTTATAAAAGACAGCTGGCATGGTCAGTCTTGTCCATTCTATATTTTATGTGGGCCACTGGGCATCTAGGTTTAGAACTTGGTTTAGAACATAGATGAACCATTTCTGAGGAAAACGAGTCCCTTTACTAATATGAAAGAAGCTTTCTTATGTGAAAGATAAGAGAAAACATTGCAATTTTTATTTTGTCTCATTTTACTTTTTCAATATTATGTGCCTAAATCTGTGTATTAGAATTTTCAATATTATGTGCTTAAATCTGTATATTAGAATTTGGAAATCTGAATTAGGTAACTCAATAATGACTTTTGTTCCCAAACAACTCATTACACAGCCGTACTCCTTTGGATATACAATAGCAGGTTTTTCAACTCTTCAGTTAAGTTTCTTTCTCTGGCAGGAGAATCTAGAAAACTTAATATTATTTAAAATTTTTGGTTTTAGATAAGTTGTGAAACTGGCTGGCTTAAGGATAAGATCTCATTAGAGAGCAGTCAGATAACGCTCAGATCCGGTTCTAATTAGATTCTAACATTGATCAAATCTATCCCTTCCAGACAAGAAGCAATGAACAGTCCTCCTTTCATGACCACCTGGAAAGCCTACCTGGAGGACACATTTGAACGAATGTTAAAACATGCTTTGTTCTAAGAGGAAAAGTACATCCTGGTATCTCACAAACTATTTAAGAACATGAAGATCGCTCCTTGTCAATTTTAGCTTTGTGACATTGAATTTTTAATATCAAACCAACAGGGAAAATTTTTAAGTAAGAGATATACATAACAGCGAAATATTGAAATGAAAACGGAGTTAAGCTTAAATAGTATTTGGTCAGGTATTTGGTCTTTTGGACACCAAATTATGCACAAAACATCTAAAAAGTCGATGGCATTTTTTAACTTTTCAAGAATGTTCTGACATCATAGCAATTTCACATCTTATTAAATTAACTGGAGTGACTCTAATATGATATTTTACTTCTATGCAAATATTCTCAACCCTTTTAAAAGGGACCACATATAATTCTAAATAGTAAAATTAAATCCCAAGCCTTTTTAATTTTGTATACTTTGTTGCTGTAATCATCAATGCTCAATAAAGTGACACTGTTATAACTTCCCAAATCTGTCTCAATAAATCAATGGATTTTGGATAAAAGCTTCTTTTTTCCATTCAGGTTAATCCTTGATTCAGTATTCTATAAGTGTCCATTAAAGTCAAGTGACAATTCATTGACTTTGAAAAACATGAAAAACTAAAAACAAGAAAAACCCCCCCAGGGGAAAAAAAAAAAAAAAAAAAAAATCCCATGTCGCTGAATGTATTTAAAGTAAGTGGTTTTGACTTAAGCAAAGATTTCTACTTAACCCAGAAGAAAAGCAGTCACTCTTCAGAAATATCACAGAATTCAGGAAAGTGAAATGAGTGATGGCAAAGGATTAAATTTACCTATTCTGGCCGGTACATATATCTACTGAGTATATACAAGAACACGATGGCTCCACTCATGTGTCATTTGTGGACAACCCTCTTCTTCTCAGCCCAGGAGCATGATCCTCTCAGTCATGCAGATATGTCATAACAGAGATTAGTCAGTACATAAGCGCCATCTGCCCCTTGTTCTGCATGCTCGACTCAAGGATGTTTGAATATATCCCTTCGCTACTTAGAATCCATATGATGGTATCATCTATTTCAAAATTCAACAACAAAATAGAAACAAATAATAAATTGTGAGAGTCCATTCTTTGGGACGGAATTATAGCTAAAGGAAATAAATCAAAGAGCAGTTTAACACACATGAAAAGAAATACCTGTAGGCATGACTGGTAGGCCATTCATTCATTCATTCATTCACATATTGTATTGTTTGCTCATTCGACAAATACTCATGGATCGTCTACTGTGGATCATCAATCACTCATTTAATGAGCATTTATGTTATACCCATTCATTCATTTATTCATTCTTCAAATTAGTACTGTAAATGGCAGATCATTATTAAGCACTTACTAACTAGGTGCTAGTCCTGAACAGGCTCTATAAGAAAGTCTCAAATGTATGGGTGAGATAGAAGCCCTCAAAATGTGTTTGTAAACATATCCTGAATGTTACTGCTGCTGGGGGGAGGTCACTGGGCCTATGGCCTCTTAGCTCAGTGCGTTTAGAAGAGGGCTTAAAGGGCTTAAGAACCAAGTTCAACTTTAGGGATTTTTTCTTATGCTGATTGGCCACCTGAGAAGGCACCAGGGGGACCAACAAGAGAGAAGGGTTGACTCCCCCAGTAGGTCACCATCAGAAGAATCATTTACATATTGCCATATAACTCATGAAGTTGTCACAAGGCCAGAATTTGATTACTACTAGTTAGTTAGTTAGTTAGTTAGTTAGTTAGTTAGTTAGTTAGTTTTGAACCCAGCTGTGCAGTCTCATAATGGTACAGTCTTCAGTTTGCTTCTAAGTATCACTGCTCATGATGGAGAGTTTTCATTTGGGCCTTAACACTATGAACATACCTTTGAAAGGTGTCCGTCAAGCCAGAAGTTTGATTCCCAGGTGGTTCATTTCTTTCTCTCTCTCTTCTTTTTTTTTTTTTTTGTCAAACTTTCCCCCAATTACCTACTATGTGTCAGGAATTATTCTAGGCATTTAAGATGCAGAAATAATGAGCCATGGCTCCTGCTCTCCAAGGCTCACCATAAAGTAGGATATCCAGGCACGTGTAGTAATGATGAGCAGTGTAATTCTTATTAGTGCTACACAATGTAGTATGTGGGAATCATAGCAAAGAAGAAAAGCGGACCTGTTGTTAAAGAGAGAAGATAAAGGATTATGTCAGCTCTGGAGATAGGGCACCTCATCTGGACACTTAACACATTTGCCTGTCCAGCATTGTTTCCTCTTTCCCCTGGTAAGAGCACCCAATTGCCCTTTGAGGATTCACCCATACTCTCCTCTCAGGGCAGGTGATTTGGCAGGGCTGGCTTCCCACCATGATTCAAGGTATAGGCATGTGACTCAGGCCTGGCCAATTAGAAAAAGGTCATGTGACACAGATTAGACCAATGAGAGATGGTCTCTGGATTTTGTTTTGGCAATAGTAGCTACGATAGGGGAACCAACTTTCCTTTAAGGTCGCTAACCTGGTTGGCTGTAAATGTGGAGTTTCTGGGTGAGGGTTTGGAAAGGACCACATGACATAGGCAGTGTTGAAAATGAAGGCAACATAGAATTAAGCAGAGCCCAGAAATGGAGGAAAAAAATGAGCCATTGGCCTTGTGCCCTTGTCAGAGCCCTTGGATGTGGCTAGTTCAAATTAAGATGGGCTGTAAGTGCAAAATATAAACTGAATTTCAAAGTCTTAGTATGGAAAAAGAAAAAAATTATAAAATATCTCATTAATAACTTCTATATTGATTATGTTGAAATGATAATATTTTGAATATATTGGATTAAAGAAAATATATTATTGAAATTAATTCTCCTGTTCCTTTTGACTTTTTAAAAAATATGGCTACTAGCAAATTTAAAATTACATACAGGGCTCACATTATTTCCTGTTGGACTGCACTGAGTTAGAACGGACTCTAAAGCCAGAGTGAGGATTGAAATCTGGCTTCTCTATTTAAGAACCATACGACACAGGATAACAATTTCACCAAATCCTGGTTCCCCAACCTCCCTGTAAAAGAGGCAACTAATAGTACCCACCTCATCGGGAGGCTGTTAAATGAGAAAACATATTTGCTGTGTTTAGCACCATGCTTGGCATGTATGTCCTTCTTAGTAAATGTCAGCTATTCAGAGCTACTCTGTAGTATTGCACCTGGTAGGTCTGGAAACTGGGCTAGATCTGTAAGGACAGAAAATTTGCGTAAATCCCTGACACTGAGCTGTTTCCTTTTAATTTGCCATTTTCTAAATCTAAAGTGCTCACAAAATGAAGGTATTGTTAAAGGATGGCTACAGTTAGCCAGGTTCTGGTTAAGTGCAAGCTCTGTTAAGTTAGGTTTTGATTAGGACTAGTAGTCATAATTCTTTATGGCACTGAAGAATATATGCAGTTCCTGTTACACATAATATTAATATAGGTAATATCTATACTGTTATTGTTGCACATAATATTAATATGCTCTCCTGAGAGCATACCATGTGCTAGGCATTGCAATAAGCATTTTACCTAAAAGTCATGCTCCCGACAACCCTAAAGCACAGGAGGGTAGAGAGATTCTCAGGGTAACTAACCTAGGGAGGGGAAGAGACATGACTTGACCCAAGTTTGTTTGATCCCAAAAGTCAATCTACGTATTACTGGAGCAGAAATATTCTGGGTAATATTTCATTTCCTGTGGCGATGAAATCATGGTGCCTTCCTCAGAGCTCCATGAACGGTTTATGTAGAGGTGAAAGATTGGTTTACCTCAGGAGTTCCAGATTATCGCACCAACAAAAGAGAATCAGATTTCATAGTAATGAAAGGATCTGCTTTAAAAAGTTGTCCATTCCTTAGTTATAAGGAAGCAAAGAACATCCATCTGTGATAATGATCCTATTAAATGCAGTCCTTCTTTTCTACTGTTCTAAAACATTACCAGCCGACATTGCAAAAGTGGTAGAACTTTCTCTCTTGAGAATTTTCTAGGACCTTACAAACATGACCCCATTAATCCACTCAATACCCGGATGAGATAGGTGGTTGGAAGTGATTATTATTGTCACTTTCAAGATAGAAAACCTGAAGCCAAGAGAGATTAAGCAATTAGTTCAAGGTCAAATGGTGAGCTAGAGCCAGACCTGGAAGTGAAACAATTATCTTGTGAAATTCCAATCAAATGCACAAACTGATTGGCTAGTTACCACCATGTGCTACTATCCAGTTAGGTGCCCTCAGTGCAAAATGACTGGCTTTTAAAGGAGATTTCTGCAACTGCCTTTGACTGAAATTGTATGGATTCGTTTAATACCAATGTTCAAACTGACGTCAGATTTTTCCAAAATGTTGGCTAAAGGAAAATACAGCTCCTTGCTCCAAATGTGGTATCCATTTTACCTAGCTCTGTTACATTTAATCATAACTACAAGCACAGTTTGAGAGAATAGAGGGAGAATTGTTCCACAAAGAAGCTTTGCTTGTGTTTTCTTTTTTTCAGAGATAAACTGCAGCACTTAAAAAGGTTTAGGGGACATCTTGCCATTTACTATGATGTGACGACTGAGGAAAGATAAATATAAACTATCTCTGAATTGTACAAAATCCGGAATCTAACTACTCGCGTCTGAACCTACCATCATTCTTCAGTCAAATATCCTTTACTCTTTACAGCTGTATTCTTTTGACAGTAGGTGAAGTTGTATGAACCAAAGATGGGAAAAGAGAAGAGTTCCTGGTCAGCAAGGAGGACATCCATGCTTTAAGTTAACAATTCCAAGGGCATATGTATGGAAAATCAGTCTACTCGAGAGAGTGCTTCTAATGGCCCCTCTTCTCTAATTTTGCAAAAGTCCCTGCCCCTCCAAATACCTGAAGCAAATTTTTATTTCTTTCTGCTGACTTCAGTCTTTGGTAATTTAAAGTCACCTACTCCATTATCAGTTTTGACTGGTTTGGGCAACATGAGATATTAATGAAATCGTTGTTAGGAGGAAAATAAGGCCCCATTTCATTAACTTGTTAAGAGGGAGTCTACACTTTTAGAGATGCCATGTGCCATGCTCGGAGCTTGTTCTTTAAGCATTCACAGTGGTCTCTTTTGGATTTGTTGAATTTTGTGTTGTTGTTGTTTTTTTTTTTGACCAGTAAAATCAGACTCTTGGAGAAATTCTTCTCTCATGACTTCCTCATTTCTGCAAGACCAGGAGATTTGGGACTGGTCATTCTAAAAAATTCCAATTCTGTCTCCTATCACTGCTTACCCTGCTCAACCTTTTCTCAACCCCCTCGGTCCTGTGCTGATGTGGACAGCTCCTTCCAGGAACACAAACTCAACCTAAGCCTGCTACAGGAATGCTATCTTGCTAATGTACAGACATTGCAGGGGGAAAAATATTTTTTAAAGCGTATCCATTTTCTTCTTTTCAAAAATTAAACACTTAGGGGGAATCCAAAGGCAAGGCTGTTCTTTCC